CAGCCTACTCATCACATTTGCAAAGCTGAAAGTGCAAGGGGAAGATCACCCTGCTGCACATTCAGAAACACAGTAATAGATGCACAGAAGCACCTGCTATGCCCCTTTTATTAAATCATGGTTTTCATAAGCTTGAAAACACTTCAGTTATGGAGCATAGTAGCAATCTGTACAGCTTATTGGCACTGTAAGTTTTTTCATTTACGTTCTGTGGAATATCTCTATGGAATCTGTGAAGGGCAATATGAGAAAAAACAAGCTCATTGTTGATAGGCTTCAACTCCCGACACAGCGGTCCCCAAGCCAGAGGTGGGAGCAGGGAATAAAGGCACTGCCCTTGGGATTCAGGAAAGAAGCTATTGGCTGTTGCATGGATCAGCAATGTTTCCAGTCCTAGCTTTCAGCTGACACTATGTAACACTCACACATATGAAATACTTCACGTCAACTGCACTAATCAGTTAATTATCCTGGCTCTCAATTTCTTCTGGAACCAGCAGGCCAGGCTCACCCTGGCTATGCAACAAAAGGAAAGCTGGAGCCATATCAGCTATCCAGAGCCACACAAACACAGTAAGAGCCACAGCTGCTTTCTGGATAATTCTGAGCAAACATATGTGTGGATCTGAACACGAAAAAGTCTTGTAGAATTTTCTTTCCTGAAGGGTCTCCCAGCCCCAGAGCTGGAGTTTCAGCCTGTTTGAGAGATCAGTACTCCTTCTGCAATGGGTTTGAAGGCCGTGAAAGTCTGAGAATAGTCTATGTTTTAGATCCCTATCACATCAGAAAGTAAGCCTGACACTTTAATCCTGAATGAGACAGGAATATTATATTGAGATTTCACAATGGCACAGAAAAAGACAATCATATATTGTCATTTATAAGGTTACTGGGATAAAACAAAAGAATGTTAAAGTAACTTCTGGTGTTGAGAAATCCTTAAGGACCACTCACCAAAGCAAAGGTCCCGTGAACGGTGATGCTATACTACAAAAAAGGATTCTTTAAGCATTTGGTGTTTTTATGCAAATAACAGCATAGAAAAACTACACTTGTTTCCTCAGGAACTGGGACTAACATTAACAAAGAATTATTTAAACACTTCTTAGAGATTATTTAATATACAGTAATCCTTTAATTATTAACAGTGCACTTGAGGAAACAGCAAAGTAATATATCACCTTCTGATATTTACTTCTACACTATAAATGGCATAACAATTTCAAAGGCTTATCTGTAGGTTGCAATTGCTTCCTCAACTTTTTTATTCAACTGAGTTTTAGGCATAATCACACACCAGAGAGATTTTTGTCCTCCACCTCTAAGTGCTAGCAGTTTCCTATCTGCAAATAATTCCAGCAGTCCAAGAGATGAAGTCATTATTTTCAAATCAGGCTACCTCTAACTCAGCTCAACTTAAAGACACAATTTTATGATCAGATACATAAAGAAAGGTCTTTTTACAGCTCCAGCTTTTTCAGAGAAGCTCAAGTGACTAATAGGAAAAGTACAAGCACATGTCCTGGATAAAAATGTTTAGTCCTTCAAAGGGCTTTCTTTCCTTACTCTTTAAAATCTAGTACACCTTCAAGACAAAAGCTTTAGAAAACTGCTCTTCATCCTGATGCTCAACTTATCTGTCTCTGGAAAACATTTTTCTACTTTTGCAAAAAGTGGAGTGTTGCATAGTGTTGAATCCCATCATCATTTCAGGTCATGCTTACTCAGTCTCACCCAGAAACCTGACACCAAGAAAAGAGCTTGGTGAGACAACAAATGACAAAGTTTTATTACAGCCTTGGCACAGTGCACTTCCAGTTGCAACTGGTTAGAAGTTTTTATTTCTAACCTTTACACTGGGTTGAGTCTCACCAGCTTTATACAAAGATCTCCCTTCAGATCAATGATGGATCTGTTTCCATAAGATACTATGTCTCTACTTGAAGGGGATGAGCTCAGTCAGTCCACCAAAGAATTCAAGAAACCAATTTTGGCTAGTTTCAAGTGAACACAGATGCCTGTCTTCCTCATGCTGAAGTTTCTATCAATATCAGCATCTCAGCAAGGCCTACCTGTGCCTCCGCTCGCTGAAGTCTCCACATAGCTTTCAGGAACCTTTGGAAAGGCATCCAATTCTTTCATCAAATTCAAGGTCTTCTTCCGATTCAGTCGCCTCATCTTCAGCACACTCCTCCACCTCCTCCTTCATATATTCCCTCTAATGTGAGAATAAATTGTGATTAGAAGACACAAGCAAGATTGCTCAAACTGAATGGCTTTAACAGAAAGCAATAATAAAGCCATTCAAACCCCAGAAATATGCTTTCAAGAAATACATGCTAGACAACTGGATGGTCACTCTTACTTCAAGACAATTGTTAAGATTGGACTGTAAGCAGCAGTGTCCAGGCCAGCCACATCCAGCACATTCACCATTTTATTATCACTAATTTCTTTCTCAATTAAGTTCTTACTGGTAGTGAATAGATCACATTTTAAATAAAAAATTAAAAAAAATTCAAACTCAGTCCTGAAGTATATTTGCTAAACAGACCTGATAGTGCACAGAAGTCACTGACTTAGGAGGAAATATCTAATAGGCTGCATAAACTTCAGAAGATGTCAGACAGCTCTGGGCTCCTACATTCAGCCAATGTGGGCATAAATTGTATCTCAAAGAAAAAAAAAGGTGCATTTCACATTTTTACAGGCATAGAATATTGTGATCATAAAATGACCTTTTTTCTTCCTCTATAAAAATACTTCTCAAAGCAAGTCATGGATCAAATCCTAACTCCATCCTTCAGAATAATGTCTGTACATGATATGATCTCTGCTTGGAGTCATGTTAAGCAGCTAGATGCTGAGAAAAACAGCTTGCCCTGGAAATACTGTCTAAAACCATTTCCAAATCATGCAAATATGCTCAGAGCCTAATCCTGCCAATACACTGCAAGTTTTAACAAGTTGACACTGTTGTTTTTCTTCTAGAGAACTGCTGAACTTCACCCTGAATTTCTGAAGCTATGAAAGCCATCATGCATTTACTGTATTCTGAGAACATGTCATCTTATTGTTCCTCATTTAAACACTATAAGATGAGCAAGCTAACCTATACTGCCAACACATGAGACAGCTCTTATCATCATCTTATAGAAAAATCTCTGAACTCATCTACCCTGTTTCAAGAGAACATCAAATCTCTGGCATGTCCTAGTGAAATTACTCGAGATCTATTCCCTGCTCTGCCCCTTCCTGGTGCTGAGCAGACTTTGTACCATGTATAACAAAGCAATAGGCTCTACTGGAAATGAAAACTCACACAAGAAAAATCATCTATTCCTCCAACTTTCTCATTAAACAAATTGACTTCAGACACAGACTCTGCACTTGGTCAGGCTGCAGAGATCAACAAAATGGTACCGTGGGTGTTGCACAGGATTCAAAGAAACCACAGTTGGAGTGGGCAGAGAAGATAAGTGCTGGGACAGGCTTTTAGTTATACAGCATTAAAAAAATAATCAGGAAGCACAGATATGGCAAAGCAGCTGCCTGAACACAACTGAAGTCATAACATCAGTAAGCACAGAGGAAACACCAGCAGGGCTTGCCTGTTATCCTACACACACAGCAAGGAAGCCAACATAGCACCCCTTTCATTTTCTGCATATCTTCCCTGCTATCGCATGTGTATGAGCACACCGTAAAGAGGCACAAGATAAACACAGGGAATTTGAGACCACTTTACTAAAAAACTTTCTAAATCATCCTGCATCAGTAAGTATGTGGATATTTGTAATCCAGCTAGAAATATGCAATCTGTTCACTGGTTCTTTAATCGCACACAGACTCACTTTCAGCTACAAACCCAGACGGAGACCTGATGCCTTCCCCCTACCCATCTCCACACATGAACTACAGACATACCAAAAATATGGAGTCCACTGCTATGAAAGTACGGTATTATGAATCCAAGAGCCAACTGCGTTAAGAAACATTATCAGTATTATTATTCACTATAAATAAGGGACAAAGCAAAGCACAAATGCCACTCGAGACCAGAGGCCCGCTCTTAGCCACGCAACTCCGCCCCAGCATCGGGCTTCGGGCAGTTTTCTCTTTCCCGGACAACCTGGCAGCGAAGCCGCTACCGGCGCGTCCCAGCACCCGCTCCCACGGGCGCGGAGCGGCCCCACGCCTGAACGCCCTGCCGGGGGCTCGGGCCCGGCTCCCCACGCCGAGGGAGGCCCCGGCCGCCGGCTCGGAGCGCGCACACCTGTGCGGGCCGCGGGCGCTCCCCGCCGCCGCCACGCACCGGGCAGCCGCGGGACGGGACAGGCCGCGCCCCCGCCCTCCCCTACCTCTCGCTTCTGCCGCCGCTGCCCAGCGCCGCGGGCGAGGCCAGACGCTGGAGATGAGCCGCAACGCGCTGCCCGGCGCCCGCCCCGCTGAGCATGGCACCGCCGGCCGGGGCGGGCTCGCTCCGCCGCCGATGCCCGGCGGGAGCCGCGGG